CCAAAGCTAATTCGACCGCAAAATCGGTCAAGTGTTGTCCTCGGACTGACCGTCGTGGCTCAAATTGTAACCTAAATTCAGATAACTCTACTGACCATCCTACTATTCTCCCGGCCAGGTCTGGCTTTCGTAGGATTTTTGCGATCGGGTGATCCGTTCTTACTACCACCTGGTGACTCTGAAAGTACGGCCTTAGGCGCCACACTGCCATCACTAGGGCCAAAGCGATCTTCTGGACCCGCTTGTACCTTGTTTCCGTGGGTTGCAACGTCCTGCTAACAAAGTACACAAGTTTAAACTCGGGTTGCTCTTGCACCAAGGCTGAACTAACCGTGTCCTCCGAAATTGCCAAGAACAACTGTAATGCGTTCTCTGAATCAGGTCGTCCCATGACCGGTGGGCTGACTAGTATGCTCTTCACCTCGTTGAAGGCTTGCTCGCACTAGTCATCCCAATCAGTACCCGCACTTTTCTTCATGATTCTTACAATCGGTTTTATCCGCTCGTCCAGCTTTGGAATAAAGCGCAACAGTGAAGTCAACCTTCCTACCAACCTCTAAACCTCCTTCAACTTCTAAGGGCTTCTCATCTCAAGTATCGTCCTGCACTTGTCGGGGTTCGCCTCTATTCCTCTGGTTGTTAGCAGGAAACCTAGAAATTTTCCCGCCGGTACCCCGAAAGTGCACTTGGCCGGATTAAGGCGCATATTGTACTTTCGCACTTGACGAAAAACCTCCGCAAGATCCTTCACATGCTCCTCTACCAAACGACTTCTCACCGCCATGTCATCCACGTAGACCTCCATACAACTACCTATCTGACTGGAAAAGACCCTATCCATCAACTGTTGGTAGGTAGCCCCTGCGTTCTTCAAACCGAACGGCATAACCTCATAGCAATAGTTAGACCGCTCGGTGATGAAGGCCATCTTATCACTGTCCGGAGGAAACATAAGAATTTGATTTTATCCTGAATACGCATCCAGGAAACTTAACACTTGGAACCCCGAAGCCCCATCCACTAACGCATCAATACTTGGTAGTGGATAAGAGTCCTTGGGGCAAGCTTTGTTGAGATCCGTGAAGTCCGTACACATTCTCCACTGCCCGCTCGACTTCTTCACCATTACAACGTTCGCCAGCCAAGTTGTATACTTGATTTCACGGATGAAATTTGCCTCCAGCAGCTTATTTACCTCAACTACCACCGTCAGTCTCTTTTCTTCTCCCAGTCTTCTTTTCTTCTGCGCCACCGGTCGGGCCTCCTTAAACAATGCCAGTTTATGCGACATAATCTTTGGATGGATTCCTGGCATATCGGCTGCAGTCCAGGGAAATAAATCCTTGTTCTTCTTCAACTTCGCACCTATTGTCCTGGCTTGCTCTTCCTCCAACTCACTTCCAATGGTAGTAACCTGTTCCTCCTTCTGCCCAAGGCTGAAGGGCCTTGTTTCTCCCATTGGTTCCATCCGATCATGGGTATTAGTTCTCGGATCTAGATCCGCCATGGCTACCTCCGATCGTCTTCTCCTTTGCCGGTTAGGTGGGTCAGATGAAGATGGCTCAACCTTCAGCCCGGCCACATAACATTCTCTAGCTATCCTCTGATCGGACCGAACGGTGCAAATGGTTCCATTGTCCAACGAAAACTTGAGTGTGAGGTGGGGCGTGGAAACAATCGCCCCAAATGCATTTAAGCACGGTCGACCCAACAACACATTGTACGATGTGTTTGCGTCTACCAGCAAAAACCTGGTCTTCAGCTCCTTATTTCGCTCGGTTCCCAAGCAAGTTCTCAGATCTACATATCCTCTCGTATCCACCCTTTCCCCCAAAAATCCTACTATCTGCTCGTTAAACGGGGCTATCAGATCCTCAGATATATCCATCTGCTGGAACGTCTTCCAGTAAAGAATGTTAACAGAACTTCCTTGATCCACCAACACCTTTCCTACGTTGTACCGAGCAATAATAGCTGTTATTACCATCGGATCGTCTTGGTCTGGATCCGGAGCATGAAAATCTTCATCGGTGAACGTGATGGGTGGCATGAAGCGCTTCCTCACATCTACCCGGTGAACGCTCTTAAGCTCCCTTAGGTTTCTCTTCCTTGCTGACGCCGATGACCCCCCAGCAAAACGTCCAGAGATAGTATTTATCGTGCCATGCAATGATCGGTCATGGCTGCGACTTCTACTCCGCCTACGATCTGGGCGTCTATCATCTCTCCTATCACTTCGTTCCACCCAAGCCCTTCTGGGTGGACTTCGCGTCCTCCGTTCCTCCTTAACGAACTTTTTCAGGTGACCCGCCCGGATCAGCTCTTCCACTTTATCTTTCAACACAGTGCAGTCCTAGGTGTTATGCCCTATGTTTAGATGATAGGTACAATGTTTAGTCCCGTCAGCCTTGGGTGATGATCGGCAAGGTCTCACACGAATAAGATCTGCACTCAGGGCTTCTTCCAACACTCTAGCCCTTGGCATATTCAGTGGGGTGTACTTTTCGAATCTAGCCCGTTTTGGGCCATCTCTGTACTTCTGGCCCTTTATCCGTTCGCCGGGTTTGAACGGTTTTTTGCCTTCTTTCTTCTCCTGCCCCGAAGTTGAGCTCTGCTCCTGTTGTCGTCTCTGAACTGCCCTCATCTCTTCTATTCTGATGAACCGAGCAGCTCTCTCTTGCAACTCATCCAAGGTTAACGGGGGTTCCGCAAACAAATTATCAACGAAAGGGGAAGGCCTCAACGTGGTGGCCAGAGTGCTAATGGTAAACTTCTTGCCTACTCCCCTTACTTGCCGAGCGGTCCTATTAAACCGGTTCATGAAGTCTCTAAGACTTTCTCCCTTCTCTTGCTTTATATTCGTCAATTCCAGATACGTCAAATTTCAAGCTCTCCCCACAGAGAAGTGACGCTCGAACATGTCCCTCAAGGTAGCGAAGTTACTGATGGTTCGAGGTCTCAAAGAATGGAACCATCCTAATGCTTCTCCCTTTATTGACAAGGAAAAAACTCTGCACCATACATTTTCACTAGGGGAGTAGATGGTCATGGCGTCGACGAAGGATCTCAAATGCTCCTCCAGATCACCTGACCCATCATACTTCTCCAGGGCCGGGAATGCCCTCTCCAGAATCTGTTCCTCCATGACTGCCGCTGCGAACGGATGCAGAGCTCTCGCTCGGCCGGTTGGGACCGGACGGTTTGCGGCCCGATGCGAGCCAGCCTCACTTTGATCCTCCCCGTGATAATGACTGTCATTGGTAGGATATGTGTCTTCTTCCGAGTCTGGCATCTCTACGATAGGCGGTGTGGGGGCGCGTGCGAAAGATTGACGGTTAGCCTACGCCGCTCTAGCCGCATCACGCTCGCCCCTAAATGTTTCAATCTCTGCCTACATTGCCTCCATCCTTCTTCTCATCTCCTGCATAAACGCTGTCGGGTCCTACTCCATCCTTATGGCCTCAGTAGGGTGTCTTCAACAATCCTCGGCCCCACGGTGGGCGCCAAAATGTTTCTGCTGAAAGGGACCAAGGGAAACTCCTGTTGCTACCGCTCGGGAACGCTCCTCCTTCACCGATCGGTCCTTCTCGCTTCCGCCTTACCTCCTGACTCTTCCTCTCTCAATGTCAAAGTGGGGTGACCTGTAGAAAACACTCTGACGCTCAAGTCAGAATTTATCTTCGCAAGTCTAGTGAAAATTAGTCAAAATCAGACCTTTACCTTCTTAATCGATTGTTATTTATATGGTTTTAAAGAATATTATCCATTAATTTACCTCTTAATGACGATCAATGCTCACCTTAACTGCTCGACAACGACCGTTACCTCATTAATTATGCATTCATTGACATTCAAAAGGTTGTCTCCAGCCAACGGCTGAAGAGTTCACGAGTGCAACCCTGGCGTCCGACCGGGAATTATCAGCTTCCATAACCCTTACATACCCGGTCGGTTTTATTCATACTTCCATCGTCTTTGGACGATCGGTCTAACCTACTCGGTAGTAACACATGTGGTTTGGTCTGGTCTGTTAGTGGAGAATGGTTATGGTAAAATATGTCTAAGTATGTAATGCATTGGACTTTTGGGAGAGGGTTTTCAAAGGTTAAAAACTGGGGAACGAATTGATAAGAGTTTTAAGTGTTGTTGTGCTAGATAATATATTGGATTAACAGGTAGAAATGCAGATGATTTTGAAGCTATGTGATTGACGAGTGAGAGACTAGCATGTGGGAACAAAGTATTTAACAATTTTTTTTTTCTTTTTTCAGTGCAATACCAATTCTATATAACAACACTAGTACAAAACGCGGAAAAGAAGACGGGCAATACGTTGCGGTTTTCAGAGAACCGAAGTATATGTAAAGGCGGTGAAATTTTTGCAATTTAAATGAACTTATAGGCCTCAGTTCCCCTTGAACCAAGGCATAAATGCCAAATTACCTCGGTTAATGGTTAAAACGAGGCATAATCCTTTTTCAAATTGACCTACAACATCGGTTGAGTTGGACAGAGACAGTAAAATGAGTATAGACATCGAGTTTGGTAAAGAACCGAGTCAGTATTAGTTTTTTATCTTCAAAAGTGCAGAACCCAAATCTCCAGTTCGTCTTCCTCTTCTCCGTGCAGTTCTTCTTCCCCCGCTCCGTTATCGCCGCGCATCCAACCTGCTCCCAAAGCCCATGGCTGCATCGTGGTTGTCCCACCCCCAAACCTGTCACGCCTCCCACCCTCGCAACCCTAACCCCACCACCAATCATAACCGCCATCGGACGTGATCTCGCTCCGCCACGNGACGAAAACTTGAGTGTGAGGTGGGGCGTGGAAACAATCGCCCCAAATGCATTTAAGCACGGTCGACCCAACAACACATTGTACGATGTGTTTGCGTCTACCAGCAAAAACCTGGTCTTCAGCTCCTTATTCCGCTCGGTTCCCAAGCAAGTTCTCAGATCTACATATCCTCTCGTATCCACTCTTTCCCCCAAAAATCCTACTATCTACTCGTTAAACGGGGATATCAGATCCTCGAATATGTCCATCTGCTGGAACGTCTTCCAGTAAAGAATGTTAACAGAACTTCCTTGATCCACCAACACCTTTCCTACGCTGTACCGAGCAATAATAGCTGTTATTACCATCGGATCGTCTTGGTCTGGATCCGGAGCATGAAAATCTTCATCGGTGAACGTGATGGGTGGCATGAAGCGCTTCCTCACATCTACCCGGTGAACGCTCTTAAGCTCCCTTAGGTTTCTCTTCCTTGCTGACGCCGATGACCCCCCAGCAAAACGTCCAGAGATAGTATTTATCGTGCCATGCAATGATCGGTCATGGCTGCGACTTCTACTCCGCCTACGATCTGGGCGTCTATCATCTCTCCTATCACTTCGTTCCACCCAAGCCCTTCTGGGTGGACTTCGCGTCCTCCGTTCCTCCTTAACGAACTTTTTCAGGTGACCCGCCCGGATCAGCTCTTCCACTTTATCTTTCAACACAGTGCAGTCCTAGGTGTTATGCCCTATGTTTAGATGATAGGTACAATGTTTAGTCCCGTCAGCCTTGGGTGATGATCGGCAAGGTCTCACACGAATAAGATCTGCACTCAGGGCTTCTTCCAACACTCTAGCCCTTGGCATATTCAGTGGGGTGTACTTTTCGAATCTAGCCCGTTTTGGGCCATCTCTGTACTTCTGGCCCTTTATCCGTTCGCCGGGTTTGAACGGTTTTTTGCCTTCTTTCTTCTCCTGCCCCGAAGTTGAGCTCTGCTCCTGTTGTCGTCTCTGAACTGCCCTCATCTCTTCTATTCTGATGAACCGAGCAGCTCTCTCTTGCAACTCATCCAAGGTTAACGGGGGTTCCGCAAACAAATTATCAACGAAAGGGGAAGGCCTCAACGTGGTGGCCAGAGTGCTAATGGTAAACTTCTTGCCTACTCCCCTTACTTGCCGAGCGGTCCTATTAAACCGGTTCATGAAGTCTCTAAGACTTTCTCCCTTCTCTTGCTTTATATTCGTCAATTCCAGATACGTCAAATTTCAAGCTCTCCCCACAGAGAAGTGACGCTCGAACATGTCCCTCAAGGTAGCGAAGTTACTGATGGTTCGAGGTCTCAAAGAATGGAACCATCCTAATGCTTCTCCCTTTATTGACAAGGAAAAAACTCTGCACCATACATTTTCACTAGGGGAGTAGATGGTCATGGCGTCGACGAAGGATCTCAAATGCTCCTCCAGATCACCTGACCCATCATACTTCTCCAGGGCCGGGAATGCCCTCTCCAGAATCTGTTCCTCCATGACTGCCGCTGCGAACGGATGCAGAGCTCTCGCTCGGCCGGTTGGGACCGGACGGTTTGCGGCCCGATGCGAGCCAGCCTCACTTTGATCCTCCCCGTGATAATGACTGTCATTGGTAGGATATGTGTCTTCTTCCGAGTCTGGCATCTCTACGATAGGCGGTGTGGGGGCGCGTGCGAAAGATTGACGGTTAGCCTACGCCACTCTAGCCGCATCACGCTCGCCCCTAAATGTTTCAATCTCTGCCTACATTGCCTCCATCCTTCTTCTCATCTCCTGCATAAACGCTGTCGGGTCCTACTCCATCCTTATGGCCTCAGTAGGGTGTCTTCAACAATCCTCGGCCCCACGGTGGGCGCCAAAATGTTTCTGCTGAAAGGGACCAAGGGAAACTCCTGTTGCTACCGCTCGGGAACGCTCCTCCTTCACCGATCGGTCCTTCTCGCTTCCGCCTTACCTCCTGACTCTTCCTCTCTCAATGTCAAAGTGGGGTGACCTGTAGAAAACACTCTGACGCTCAAGTCAGAATTTATCTTCGCAAGTCTAGTGAAAATTAGTCAAAATCANCAGATAACTCTACTGACCATCCTACTATTCTCCCGGCCAGGTCTGGCTTTCGTAGGATTTTTGCGATCGGGTGATCCGTTCTTACTACCACCTGGTGACTCTGAAAGTACGGCCTTAGGCGCCACACTGCCATCACTAGGGCCAAAGCGATCTTCTAGACCCGCTTGTACCTTGTTTACGAGGGTTGCAACGTCCTGATAACAAAGTACACAAGTTTAAACTCGGGTTGATCTTGCACCAAGGCTGAACTAACCGTGTCCTCCGAAATTGCCAAGAACAACAGTAATGCATACTCTGAATCAGGTCGTCCCATGACCGGTGGGCTGACTAGTATGATCTTCACCTCGTTGAAGGCTTGCTCACACTAGTCATCACAATCAGTACCCGCACTTTTCTTCATGATTCTAACAATCGGTTTTATCCGCTCGTCCAGCTTTGGAAAAAAGCGCAACAGTGAAGTCAACCTTCCTACCAACCTCTAAACCTCCTTCAACTTCTAAGAGCTTCTCATCTCAAGTATCGTCCTGCACTTGTCGGGGTTCGCCTCTATTCCTCTGGTTGTTAGCAGGAAACCTAGAAATTTTCCCGCCAGTACCCCGAAAGTGCACTTGGCCGGATTAAGGCGCATATTGTACTTTCGCACTTGACGAAAAACCTCCGCAAGATCCTTCACATGCTCCTCTACCAAACGACTTCTCACCGCCATGTCATCCACGTAGACCTCCATACAAATACCTATATGACTGGAAAAGACCCTATCCATCAAAAGTTGGTAGGTAGCCACTGCGTTCTTCAAACCGAACGGCATAACCTCATAGCAATAGTTAGACCGCTCGGTGATGAAGGCCATCTTATCACTATCCGGAGGAAACATAAAAATTTGATTATATCCAGAATACGCATCCAGGAAACTTAACACTTGGAACCCCGAAGCCCCATCCACTAACGCATCAATACTTGGTAGTGGATAAGAGTACTTGGGGCAAGCTTTGTTGAGATCAGTGAAGTACGTACACATTCTCCACTGCCCGCTCGACTTCTTCACCATAACAACGTTCGCCAGCCAAGTTGTATACTTGATTTCACAGATGAAATTTGCCTCCAGCAGCTTATTTACCTCAACTACCACCGTCAGTCTCTTTTCTTCACCCAGTCTTCTTTTCTTCTGCACCACCGGTCGGGCCTCCTTAAACAATGCCAGTTTATGCGACATAATCTTTGGATGGATTCCTGGCATATAGGCTGCAGTCCAGGAAAATAAATCCTTGTTCTTCTTCAACTTCGCACCTATTGTCCTGGCTTGCTCTTCCTCCAACTCACTTCCAATGGTAGTAACCTGTTCCTCCTTCAGCCCAAGGCTGAAAGGCCTTGTTTCTCCCATTGGTTCCATCCGATCATGGGTATTAGTTCTCGGATCTAGATCCGCCAAGGCTACCTCCGATCGTCTTCTCCTTTGCCGGTTAGGTGGGTCAAATGAAGATGGCTCAACCTTCAGCCCAGCCACATAACATTCTCTAGCTATCCTCTGATCGGACCGAACAGTGCAAATGGTTCCATTGTACAACGAAAACTTGAGTGTGAGGTGGGGCGTGGAAACAATCGCCCCAAATGCATTTAAGCACGGTCGACCCAACAACACATTGTACGATGTGTTTGCGTCTACCAGCAAAAACCTGGTCTTCAGCTCCTTATTTCGCTCGGTTCCCAAGCAAGTTCTCAGATCTACATATCCTCTCGTATCCACCCTTTCCCCCAAAAATCCTACTATCTGCTCGTTAAACGGGGCTATCAGATCCTCAGATATATCCATCTGCTGGAACGTCTTCCAGTAAAGAATGTTAACAGAACTTCCTTGATCCACCAACACCTTTCCTACGTTGTACCGAGCAATAATAGCTGTTATTACCATCGGATCGTCTTGGTCTGGATCCGGAGCATGAAAATCTTCATCGGTGAACGTGATGGGTGGCATGAAGCGCTTCCTCACATCTACCCGGTGAACGCTCTTAAGCTCCCTTAGGTTTCTCTTCCTTGCTGACGCCGATGACCCCCCAGCAAAACGTCCAGAGATAGTATTTATCGTGCCATGCAATGATCGGTCATGGCTGCGACTTCTACTCCGCCTACGATCTGGGCGTCTATCATCTCTCCTATCACTTCGTTCCACCCAAGCCCTTCTGGGTGGACTTCGCGTCCTCCGTTCCTCCTTAACGAACTTTTTCAGGTGACCCGCCCGGATCAGCTCTTCCACTTTATCTTTCAACACAGTGCAGTCCTAGGTGTTATGCCCTATGTTTAGATGATAGGTACAATGTTTAGTCCCGTCAGCCTTGGGTGATGATCGGCAAGGTCTCACACGAATAAGATCTGCACTCAGGGCTTCTTCCAACACTCTAGCCCTTGGCATATTCAGTGGGGTGTACTTTTCGAATCTAGCCCGTTTTGGGCCATCTCTGTACTTCTGGCCCTTTATCCGTTCGCCGGGTTTGAACGGTTTTTTGCCTTCTTTCTTCTCCTGCCCCGAAGTTGAGCTCTGCTCCTGTTGTCGTCTCTGAACTGCCCTCATCTCTTCTATTCTGATGAACCGAGCAGCTCTCTCTTGCAACTCATCCAAGGTTAACGGGGGTTCCGCAAACAAATTATCAACGAAAGGGGAAGGCCTCAACGTGGTGGCCAGAGTGCTAATG